TTCATGGTGCACCACGGCTGCTGAATTATTGAGCAGAAAAACTCTCTTTGATCCATGCTATGTAGCCCACATACCAATCTCTTACCTGTCAGCCTCCCAGAATGCCATTCATTCTTCAAATGTTTGCAAGGAGGATGTTATTTTTCCTACCGCAAGAAATTTCCAATCCCTTTCGGGCTCTAAATTGATATGTAGCTGCCGTGTTCTTAGCCGAATACAAAGAACTATTTCTGGGATTTCAAATTTGATTGCCAGTTCATGCAGGAAAGTAGTAAGATAAAAAAAAAAAAATCCTGAACTTTGATTCCTTGCTTTTTGTCTGTTCGAAAAACCTTGATATTGAATGCAGGCTCGAGCTGTACTGAAAGCTACCAGGAATACGTTTTATTACCAAATCAATATACTGAGTTTCAATGTCCTGAGCGGCGTATCTCTTAGATGTTTTTAGCAGCCGTTTAAATAGAAAGAGAACTTTACCAAAGCATAGAGAGTGGGAGAGCGAGGTTCAGATATTGCACCGAAAGGTCATGTGTGGGAGTTCAGTGTCTGAGTGAAATGAAGAGAAAGCCATCACGCTCAGTCTGCGGAATACGTTATGCAAAAAAGGACTGTAGCACGCTCACCAGTTATTTCACTTTCACGCATGGTTTCCAGACCCACGGCTCACGAAATGGGTAGGCGGGGTGTGGGGTTTATATCCCGTGACTCAAACGTGTCAGGGTTTACATTTGATTGCTTCAGCACAAAATCCCCTCACGTCAAATGTCTTGCGCTTCGCAAAGCCCAGTGACACACAGAAACATGGTCATAATTTCAAATCTGGTGATATTTCATGAAGTGTTGCTTCACTTGAAAGTGGAGATAGTTACGTGGGTGCATAAACACATCTCCTGAAAGATATCTCCACTCTGCTCTCATTTTTTTCAGTCGTATTCCTGTTTACCGAGAAGCCAGTGCACTAAAATTTGTAAGGGTGGGTATTAAATAGTGAAGCCAGAGGTGTAAACAAAAAGAGAGAGAGAGAGAGAGCACTTTGCAATGCAGAAATGCATTTCTACATTTATGTGTTCAGTACGTATTTCTTCTTGGGCTGTCAGTTGATGCACATATATATTGCAGTTTTACTAAGTGCATTTAGTTAACAAGATTATATTTAATTATTTATATTATATTTGCTCCAATGCTCTTCACTTACACATTTGTACAGATGGCAGTAAACAATAGTTACGTTTTGGGTGACATTTTTTGACGCTATGATAAATGTATAATTTTTTAGAAAACAAAATAACCAGTACAACTGAATTTCTGGTCCAATCACTAGTCCAATAGCATGTTTTTATGCAAGTGTGTCTGATCCACTTAGAATGAGAAGTTGAGGCATTAAAGAGGCCATAAACACTGTTTTGGTGTTTTTATAGGACAAGTTTTTCGTTACATAAACAGGCTAAACATGCTTCAAAAAAATCTGTTATTATGGCACCTTTGATGAGAAGAACCATTGTGAGAAACATCCTCTGTCAAACCAAAGCATCAAGCAGATTGATATCCAGATGTTTAATGTCCCACGGTTCTGCAACATGTTTCTTGCTTCAATGCAAGAGAGAGGGAAAACAGAAGAGGGAAACGTCTATCGCATTGAGCCATGCCATGGTTAATGATGCCAGATAGAAAAACGGGAGACAGAAAAGAGATAGATGGGGAATGAACGAAAGAGAATTGTCTATGCATCTGTTCTTTACATTAAACAGAGTTTGGAAGAAAAATACGAAGACGAGGATTTCATACACGGCAATGATCCAGCTTCAATTAAAAGTAGGTCAGAAATGTCACTTTTCTACTCATTAAGTCAGTCAGTCGTTCAATGAAAGTATATCTGGTGGGGGTTTTTTTCTGAAGTGTGTAATTCCTTTGACAAAGCAGCGTAATTGGAATTGCAAAAAATAATGCCTGTTTTTAGATTTCTCCCATTTATCATGGCCCTATACCCACATTTCACTGGATGCGGGTTTGTACGCACCACAGTGTTTTCAGAGAAATCCGTCTAGTAGTGATTTTCTTTAGTAGTGTCCTCGTCTCCACTCTTTGTGTATAGCTCTCTCTGCCCATAAAGGTTTAGAATGAAATTACTTCAACACAGAAAAATACACACATCAACTTTAATAAACAAGTCTATGTTGCTTTATCTTTCTGTTTTCTTTATTCTCAGGCATTTTGAGACAAGTTTGTATGGCAGGCAGCTGAGAGAAAGTGTCTACTAAAGCATTATCACTGTGATCGATGGCCCAGTTCACTTGGCATCCAACTATCAAGTATCAAACCCTGATGCTGAATACCATTTACTGTTTGGGAAGCAACACTGGCTTGGCTTTGATTAATAAGCAAGCATTTGACATGTCATTGCCACATTATCCACTGTACATTTTTTAATTTCCTGATGCTACTGAAGCCTAAAGAGTGGATCGGTTGTGCAGTGCAATGTTGTTTTATTGAGAAAAAGCACAGAAAATACAAGCAGTGTCTCTGTTTATGCAAACTTTTAGAAATGTAAACTAAGCACCAGTGGGCTTGTGACAGAATGTTTTCAGAAATCATATAGACAGTGATTGTATGCGTATGGAAATGATTTGACATTTGTCATGAAAGTGTGTGGATGATGTCTACTCAAGGCATTTGGTCTGTTCTAGTCTGTACAATTGAACATAAAATCATACTCAACAACAGTGTTTTTTTGTTGAAAATTCAGCACATTTCATTTATTTTTCTAAGTTGTTTACTGTGATATTAATATACTTTAATGCTTTGATCTAAAGGCATTTTGTACAATAGATCATTTTGGTAGCCAGTGTAAAATCTTTTTAATAACTTTCATTCAAAAATCATTAAATAGGCCTTTTGTGTACATAGAAAAAGTCTTAGATCTTTGAGTTCAGCTCATGAAAAATGGGGGCAAAAACAAAAGTGATGCGTTTATAATTTTGTTCAGTATATATTCACATGGCTAGAAACATGAGATAATGTGCTTAATGTTTGCTAATGTACTTATTAATCATTATCTAATGATTAACAGATAATTATTTCATATAAATTCATATGATCATGCACTTTTTTCATGCACAATTTGATTTGAACAAATGATTCCAACAAATATTACAAGCTTATTTGTTAATGTACTTTTGAATGCTAACAAATGCCATTAAACTTCAGTTCATATACTGTATTAACTAATGCTCATTTTTACATTTACAAATGTTGTGGGGAAAAAATAGATTAATTGTCATTTTAAGCACTTCACAGACTATTCATGTTAACATATTATTAATTAACTCAATCACGGTCTGTAAAGGTCATGTATTTGGTCTTCGTTTGTTGTGTAGACTTCTACTATTTACACATCTTAACAAATCATGTATTAATTATTTTTTCATGTTTTTACAGTACCCAATCTAAAGTGGGAACTATTCATCATTTGTAAATGTTTATAAACGTTTACTAATCATTAGTACTTTTATTAGCAGTCATCTCAATGGCAAAAAGTGTCCCAAATGACCTGATATTCCTTGAATCATACATCAACAAGAGAAAACAAATCAGTTTGTTAATTTATCAAAACATTGTGATATAAACAGATTGAACTGTGTTCTTTTATAGTAATTAAATTCACCCCTGTACACAGTTGACCCCTTACCCAACCCTTAAACCTACTCATACCACCAAACCTGTCCTTAACCTTATACCGTATCACACCTCAATAGCAGCAAAAAGGTTGTACATTAACGCAGGCTTTTAATCATTGTGTAACATCTGTTAAAATCATTTGTAGATTTTCAAAAAGTGCATGATCGTATGAATTGAAAGTTTAATGACATTTGTAAGCGTTTTAATTTACATGAAATAATGATGTGTTAATCATTAGGTAATGTTTAATACGTTTATTAGTAAACATTAACAAGCACATTATCTCATGTTTCTAGCCATGTGAATATATGATATGTTAAGCATTATATGATGTTTGTTAATGATTTATTAAATTAAAGTGTTACCCATCAAGGTTTCTTACTCATTGTGTCAATTTATTGCAGATTCGATCAGACCAGGACAAAGAGATTGAGATCCGGTACAGTATAACAGGAGCCGGAGCAGACCAGCCTCCCAATGATGTCTACATCATTGATCCTGTGACAGGGAAAATGTCTGTCACTAAACCTTTGGACAGAGAGGAGAGAGCCTCCTACCATGTAAGTGCGCCTCTTTCCAGAGTTGGCTCAAGAAGATCATTTTTGCCCTATTCAGATCCTATTTAAAGCAGAACTGGCCTCAACCTGTTTAAGAAACATGTGATCGCAAAAAGTGTTTGGTCACTTAAGCCACTTTTAAAAATGTATGAATGCCTTTACAATATAGAACAAAATAACAAAATTAAGACAATAATTTTTTTTTAGAGTTGAACATGTTCTTGTCATATCTGTGAACATGTGCAATGTGTGTGTGTGTGTGTCTGTGTGTGTGTGTGTGTGTGTGACGTTCGGTAGTGTGTGTCTCATCTGTGACGTTTGTAGATGATGTAATGAAATGGCATGACAGTCGTGCAGTACTAAAACAGTATTTTTGAAGTTTATTGCAAAATATTCAAAAGTTATTCATGGGAGTGT